ACCCCGTGACATAGGTTACCTAAGAGCTAACTTAGGCACAGAGAAGGGAATACTTTGCCAAAGATTGTGCTTTGGGAGCCCCCTCCCCCTTTAGATTTATTTTATGTGTATGAGTGCCTTTGCCTAACTTTTAATAGTATATTGCAATGCAGTTCACATACAAATTGTATACAGGGCAGATGTACAATTCAGGGTCTTTTAGTTTGTTCAGAGTTACCACAACAAGCCTTAGAATGTTTGTTAGTATTATCTCAAAAGCCACATCTCATGTAACCTGGCCCTTCCTCCTTAGCCTAAGCATCCCCTAATCTGCTCTGGGGGGTGTGTGTCTACTCTGGAATTTCAGAAAGATGGGATCCGACAGTGAGTGGTCCTTTGTACTGGTGCCCCCCCCCCCACCCCCCATCCCATAGACAGAGTTACTTTGTGTGGTCCTGGGTATCCTGGAACTCACGCTGTAGACCAGGCTGGTCTCAAACTCTCAGTGCCTCTGCTTCCCAAGTGTTGTAACTATTTTTATGCTTCAATTTTTATCCTAGTGGTGTGTCTGAACAATGCTTTGATTCTCTTCCTCTAGGGGTGAACTTTGGGCTATTTTCAGGCTTTGTTACTGTGAATGTATCGCGATGAACATTTACATGCAAGTTTGTTATGTGGTATGTGCTTTTATTTCTCCTGGGTAGATTTGTAGAATTGTGGGGTCTTATTTTAATGCTATATAACTGAGAAATTCCCATCACAGTATGTGACGAGTCCAGTTTCCTCTTCATCCTTGTTAACTGGTGTTATTGTTTGTCTTTTGATTTTGGTTATCTCAGTAATTAGGAAGAAGTATTTATCTGCAATCCCCATCCCCTCCCCTCTCTTTCTTTCTTCTCTCTCCTTTGTCTATTACTTAGGACAAAACTTCTGCCTCTCACATGCTAAGTAGGTCAACCACTGACTTGTGTCCTGGTCCCAAGGGTGTTCTTAAACACTCATCCAAGTCATGAGTCTGAGGTTAGAGAGGCCATGGGTGTGTTCCAGTCACATGTGCTGTGAAGGATAGAATTGAGTTTCAGACTATAGTAAATTAGAAGTAAGTTGAAGTGACCCGGTTTCTTAAGAGCTTTTGGTTGAAAATGAAGGATGGTCCTGATCTTACCTTGAGGATGAGCTATTCAATAACCAGGCACTCCCACATTTCTCTGCTCTCATCTCCATGGTGCATGGGAACACAGGGCTGGAAAGAGATACACTTTTTATTTTTGGGTTTTGAAACAGTTTCCATTATATCTCTGGTTGTACACACCAGACTGACCTCAAACTCACAGAGATCTCCCTGCCTCTGTCTCCTGAGTGCTGAGTTTCCATGTCACCATCCTTTTGCCTGTTAAAGTCTATTGTAGTTAGTGTTGTAGATAAATGTTGTAGATAAATGTTGTTCCTTACTGTTAATTTGTGTTCATCTGTATTCAAAGATCTTTTAAGCTTGAAAGAGACTGTCAGATGTCCGACTTACAGTTCAAACTTAATGCACCGGAACATTTTTAAATTTTAAAATTAGATTTAAACTCTAAATTGAATATATAATATTTAATAATAATCATGAGAAATTATAATTAAGAAACATATAAATTTAAATTTTAAGTCTAAAACTAGATATTCCAAATTCTTTTATAAAGGTTGATAAAATCCACTTAATAGCTTTCTAATACATATTTAAAATTTTATATTTTATTTGTGTCATTGTTTTGTCTGCATGAATGTCTGTGTATCCATTTTGTGCCTGTGGAAGCTCTAGGTGGGTATCAGATTCCTGGAATTGGAGTTATAGACAGCTTCAAGACCTGAATCCTTTAGAAGATCAACCAGGGCCATCTGTGGGGCCATCTCTCTAGCTCCTCAAATATATGTTTTATTTATTTATTTTTAGTTCTTGTATTTATTTTCCTTTGTATTATGTGTTTTTGACATGGAACTTACTAGTCTGGCTAGTCTCTAACTATCTATGAGAGCTAGGCTGTCCTTGAGCTGCTTGCCTCTGTTGGGATTAGAGGTTCACACCACCATGCCTAGCTGCTTGTTTGGTTTTGGTTTTTTTTGAGCAGAGTCTGGTCTTGAACCTGCTGCTCCACTGCACCAATGGTGGTATTACATACACCATCCTCATTTAAGTTCTAGATTTATTTAAGTGTAATTTCCCCCGTGTTTCCTGTTCTTTATTATTTTCTGTTGTTCTATAATACACATAATACTAATTCCTTTACTTTTTTCTCTGAAAGGCAGAACTTACTGACCCTTTCATCTGTTCTTCTCTCAGGGTAGGGAAGTCATTGATGACATTCTTCTCTTAACAGTATGCCCGTAGCAGCTGTCACTCAATAGGGCAAGAGGATCGCACTGTGATATATTATTTAACATTTTGCTTTTCTACTGCTGTTCTACTTGGTAGCAAGCCAGCAAACCAAAGCCAGAAGGAGGTAATACCTTAAGTAACATGGAGTTACTTTCCCTTCCTTGGTTACTTATGTCAGAGCTTATCTCTGCCTTGAACTCAGTTCATGGTTCATGTTCATTTCCAGTTATTAGTCTTTTCTACTCTTACCCACTGGTTTTTCTTTCCCTAAGACAGGGATAATGTTTTCACATATTTGCAAGTTTAGGCCTTGTACTAGCTGGTTTATTAGATATTAAATTGTTTCATATCTTCTTTCTATCTTGGTAAGAAGTTAGTCTTTATTTAAATTGTATAAATGAGTAAAGTAAGATTTAGAATGATTGCATGATATTTCATGGCTCAATAGGTTTTTCTGAAGATCAAGTCTTTTATGTCTCAAGTCCAGTATTAGTTTTCATTAGTATAAAGGATGTGGCCATAGTTATTAATGAATTTTATCTTCTTGTCAACAGTATTTTTGTAAGACAAAGGTATATAAATTTAGATTATTATTTAAGCTTAAATTTTGTAAGCTTTTTGAAATAGTAATACATTCACATGGGTCAGAAAGTATTAAATGAAATATGATGAGAGAGCCCTTTTCATTCACTGTGGTTTCTAGTAGTACTGTTCTTATTCTTTTAAAGAGATTATCTTGCTTAGTGGTTACCAAGTTGTTATACAAGAATACAACATAATATACTACAATATAATACAATACAACATATCCTTTTCTCCTCAGCCTCTTTTGCAAAATATAATAGCATTCTATGTAAACTATTTATATCTCTTACATTTTCACTTGTGAAATCTGTTAATGTTAGTTATTAGTATGGCTAGAACTTCCACATTTTTTTCTATAGTACTATTTTATGTTCAAATCTGACAGCCACTCTTTATCATATGTTCAAAAGAATTGTGTATTTGTTTGAATTGCCTAACAAATGTTTGTAGAAATGCTGATAGTGTTGTTTATAATTGCCTCCCAGAATGGAAATGGCTCAGTAACTCATCTATCATGAATGGATTGACAAGAGGAGCTATATATGCATGACGCGATGCTATTTGGCAGTAGAATGCACAGACACAAGCTATGACATGAACAGGCCTTGAAAACATGCTAAGTGAAAGGAAGCCACAAAATGAGTGGTGTCTATCATATAAACCCAGTCATGAAATATCCCTAATTATATGCTTTCTATCATGTAAAATAGCCAGAATAGAAATATAATGTCAGTGGGTGGTTTCCAGGGACAGGGAGTAGTGGTAGGCTATTGGGGTTTCCCCTTGAAGTAATGAAAATATTATAAAAGTAGACCCTGGTGATGGTCTCAGAATTGTATGAATTCCTGATATCTACTAAATCATAAACTTTAAAATATGTATTATAACATTTAGCTTTCCCACCCTTTCAATGATTTTTATACTTAAATCATCCTATGATAATAGGTAGTAATGAGAGTTTAATTTCTGCCATCTTCTTCTGTGAAACATGAATGACTCTTAGCAGACAGTGTCAAATGCTTCTGCAATGCCTGTGGCTTCTCCTGAGTTATTTCCACTCAAGTGTCACTGCACAGTTTTGTGCCCTCCCTGGACCTGACGGCACTGCCACACTTATGTGAGGAGCCTTTTTTCCGATTTGCTGAAATGCAGCACCATCTCTTGGTCTTGCTCAGCTTAGAGCTGGGGCTACGTTTTGTTGGTGAAGTTATTCACAATTACTAATGAATTACCAGGCTCAAGCTGAACCAACTCTGTTCCCATCCACACACTGTCTGTTACCAATGTGAATTGTCCTGTGTCCAAGTCTGCCATCTGTTTCGGGCTGCCACTTACAAGGGCCTGGAGCTGAGCTAATGAAATGGGGTGTCTATTTTTCTTCTCATTGTTGGTCACTTTGAGGCTTTTTAAAGTAGGAATAGATTTTCCCAAACTCTGTTGCCTCTGGATCTTGTATATTGATCCAGTTCTCCTCTCTGTCTTAATAGGAAATGAATGATAAATAGGGAAAAATTGGTGCGAAACCGTTCCCGGGTTCTATGGAACAATGTTTTCCTCTTTGTCTGATCCTATTGCCTCACATTTGGGTGGAGAGCCATTTGGCAGGACCTCAAAGTGTCTATTTTTTGTTGTTGGGATGGGGGAGTGATTTTGATAATGCATTATAAAACGAGTGAATGTCAGGAATAGGAATATTTTTCTGATACATACTCATCTCATTTTTTAATGCCTTCTTGTGTCTATTTCTCAGACCCCCTGCAGGCTTGCTTTTCCTGTAGGCAGCATGTATGGCTCAATCTTCACAGCCTGGAGGATTCTTGAAGTCATTGGAGAAGAGTCTGCGGCTAGTGACTGGCTGGCTGCAGTGGAGTCCTTGCTCTCTGCCACCACAGTGATCCCCCCACACGTTTTCTTACTGCTGGCTCACCTGCTTGTTGAAGATGGAGGACAGAATCTTCAGCAGATACTGAAGGTCGCCACACAGTTAGCTCAAGCAGATTCCTCTCAGGTAAAGCCCGAGAATATGGAAAGGTGATAGGAGAAAAGCTTAGTATTTATGATTAGACATTATTTTTAGTTTACTTATGGTCAAGTTTTAAATTATGGGTTTAAAAATGTCTATCTTTCCAGTTCGGTTTCTTCTTGATGTTCCTTTAACAATGCAAATGTTTTTCTTTAATTAAAACTATAATTTTTGAGGAACCCCAAATTCAGTAAATTTTTGTTCCGCTATTCACAACCCATTTCATGGTGCATTTCTTTTTAGTTCAAATATTGATCTAACGTGACCCAGCTTAATCAATTCATGATAGATTCCTTACAGTTTGATCCTATCCACTCAGTCATTTAATAAACAGAAACATTGTATCCTTACCCTGTGTGGTCCTGATCTGCAGACAAGACTGTGAGGATAAACAGTTGTCTTCCTGTCTGCATGGAACTTGAGTGTAATAAGCAGTCAGACATAAATAAGACTTCCCTCCCTCCTCTAAAAATAGAAATAAGTTTAACACAGTCTTCTTTTATTTTTCTACTGGTTAGACTCTCTAGAATGTTTCCCATGAAGGAAGGCTTTCCTAACCCAGCAGACATGGCATTATTTTACATTCCGTTTATTGGGTCTGTGCTTATGTTTTCTGTCAGGCATCGAGAATAATACTTCACCTCTCAATACAAACTCATGCATCCCTAGTTAGAAGCTTTAGTCGGTGTTGTTGGTGAGCCATGCTGATGATAGAGGTTCTGTGCTGGGAGTTTCTCATTCCCTCAGATTGTCATGCTCATTGTTTTTATCAAATAACCTGCAGTGTATTCAAAGGACCTTTTTTCCCATTTATACACATACTATAAATCATCTCATGTTGCTTCTCTTCTAGTCTAGTTCTCTGTTTGATATTTTTAGCGACCCTCAGTCTTAACCTGTGTTTTCATCAGTGTTCAGACCATGTAGGACACTCTTAGAGTAGTTGAAGCTCAGGTGGCATCTGGATACTATGCAAAGAAGAATCCCTTGAAATAATACTGTGGTCTGTCTGATCTGTATACACTTTTGACAGAGTGTACATACGTGCATGCACACACACACACACACACACATCTATCTGTTATCTTTTATTCACTCAGTGAGTTCCTTTGGTTTCAGAGTAATTCTTGACTACCAGTAATAGTAACTCATCTCAAGTTGCTATTAGACTAGTATTTAGGTCAGTCTTGGCCTGAGTAGTATATTCAAGGTGCAGTGTTTTTTTCTTTGCATTGTGAATTATGTAGAAGACTTACAGAGACTTATTACTTCATCTTCACAGTCTAAAAGGAATCACGGAACAGAAGATGCTTAGATCTTTCTTCTTGGTTCATGTGTTCATAATGCACCAAATATGACGAGAACATAATGAGACATTTTTAGTTGCCATTCTAGGTAGAATGGAAGTGAGGCGAACATTCAGGATTTGTGACTCCAGAGTTGTGATGAGTGAGGTTAGGATATTTTAGTGAGAATTAGTGTCCCTGTGACAAATACTTGGGAAGAACATAAGAGAGAAGAGATAACTTCAATATTTCAGTCCATCGTTGGTTGACTCTGTTGTATTTAGGTCTGTGGCTAGGTAGAAACATCATGGAAAAGCAGGGTGGGTAAAAATTCTTAGGTCATGGCAGCTAGAAAGCAGAGAGAAACAGAGAGAAACCAGGGGTAAGATATACTCTATAAAAGTATGTCACCAGTCATAGAAATCCTCAAACCAGGTTCTACCTCCAGATTTTCCACTGTCTTCCAATAATGCTATCAATTTGTATATCCATTAATAGATCAGTAAGAAAGTAAAATGGTCCAGATACATCTCAGTGATTGGTTCTATCAATGAGAGCCAAGCTTTTAATAGATGAACTATTTACTTTTACATTTTTATTAGCACAGAACAGGTTTTATTATGGCATTTTATATTTGTGACATACATATAGCGTGTGTTCATGTGTATATGTCTCTGTCTCTCTCTGTCTCTCTCTCTCTGTCTCTCTCTCTCTGTCTCTCTCTCTC